AAACGCACATGTCCCTAATTAAATTGAATAAAAAGAAAGTAGAAAAATAACTGGAAGGGATACAAAAATGCAATACAACGTGTCCAAAACGCATCCAAAATGTACTGGAACACACTAAACATGCATGCCAAAACGCATCAGAAAACAGCTAGACTGTTTCTATAGTGTGAACTGGCACTTAGGACTTGTTCACACCATTGGTGGTGCAGAAACGCATGCAAGAACACACATTTTCCAGCAAAGAAATGCAATGCCCTTTGCAGATGTGCGCAGTTAGGTGCAACACACTTTTAAAATAATATGCCTGCAGTATTTTTTGCATGTTCCCACACATTAGGCAGGCCATTGAAATTAACGAGCTGAGGAAAAAGAAAAAGTTAAAAATGCCCCATTCACACAGGTCCTCTGGCCTGTACAGCATAAATGAGTGGGTTGTTTATGTGGCTAGAGCCACCTGTTACACTATGGGGACACAGCAGCTGTATGAACATAGGTTTTAATCTGACAGGTGTGAAGGCGTGGGGAAGTGGCCCTGAAGCTCACTGTGTGTTCAGGGCTGTACACCTGCACCCATATGCTTGTCAAATTATGACCTGCAGCAATTCTATAGTGTAACATAGGTTGCCTGCAAACGGCGACAGCCACAAAAACAAACCACTGATTCCCACTCTATAGGCCACAGCACCCATGAGCCCCAAAACCTCAATTACACCTCAATTACACACAAAGCTTTATTTATGAACTCAGTACAGTTTTATCATTTAGATTTCACAGGAATATGGTTGGGATTATGTCCATTAATAATGATTTTAGTGTATTTTTACCATAAATATAATTTGGATATTTTCTCTGGCGGTGGGGGGCTGTCAGGTATGCTGTACGGGGCCCCATGATATCTAACAGTAGCCCTGGGTGTATGCTTGTGTCTGTGCCACCTGTATAGTTAGGAAGAACCTTGAACCTCTGCTATGTACCTCAATGGATCTAGGAATTGGACATGTTTTCAACTGAAAATACAACAATTATTAGTAATGTTTCCCCAGCAAATGAGGATCAGCTCCTCTGTGGAGAACAGTGATCTCGCCATGTCCAGATGTGGTTTGGAATTCCACAAAAGAACAATTCACAAAACTAAAAAATAGACTTGCAAATTACCACTAAACTCTCCTAACTACACTCCCATCCACTCACACTCCCCACTTCCACTTCTGGGTGTGTGCAAACATCCTTCCGCCAACATCATGACGTATTTCTGGTATGGCAGCTGCTCTGGCGCCTCCTCCAACAGCCGTCTTGGCATTTTATTTGTGCACCATAGCAATTTTACATGCGGCTCCATTGTGTATATGACATTCGCAAATATATGTTTGCAGTTCTATTGTAGATTTGGCATTGGTGAATGTATGCTTGCAGCTATACGGTGTATATGACATTGGCGATTATATATTTGCCAGTAAAGGCCCAAAGTCAACATAAATTGGGGGCCCAATTTATTACTGTTAAGAGGATTGTAGAAAAAGAATAGCTAGCTGCACATTGAATACGACCTATTCATTGGTACATAACATGGTCTTGTGGTGCAATAGGGGGCTTTTGGTTTGTTATTTTGGACATACTTGCACATGTGCGCTCTAACAAGGAAGATTTGGGCATATTATATACATAGCAAAAATAAGTGTTAGGGGTGCTAGTACATTTCAGATATTTATATAGCGCTGTCAATTTACGCAGCGCTTTACATATAGATGTGGTAAATTCACATCAGTCCCTAACCCTCAAGGGGTGTACTAAGAGCCCTAACTTACATTCTTACATATACTATGGCCAATTTTGACAGGATCCAATTAACCTACCAGCAGGTCTTTAGAGTGCGGGAGGAAACCGAAGTACCCGGAGGCCCAGGGAGAACATGCAAACTCCAGGCAGGAGGTGCCGTGGCTGGGATTCAAACCAACAACCCTAGTACTGCCAGGTGGAAGTGCTAACCATTTAGCCACTGTGCAACATTCAACTAGAACATGAAATAATCCCCCCAAAAAATACATAGTACAAATGTTTATTGATCAAATACACATTCCACATTTATTTGGACAGCAACAAAAAGCTACATTCAATATCTTGGTGTGAAAAAAAAAAGCAGGATTGATGTTGCTAAAATAGAACGGTCCTGCTCATAAGAGCTTACAATCTAAAAGATTATACTTAAAATGAACTGTGCTTTCACAGGTTACAGCAGGAAACAAACGGGTAATATGAATCACTTGGGCTTATTCACAAAACAAGCTGCAGATCGAAATATCAATATAAAAATACGTGCCAAAATAAAAACACCTCCCACCTCCCCAAATCCCCCACACATACATTTCTCACCATGTTTGTCTGAAAACTGCATTTCATTCTAAATAAAGCAAACTTGGAAGAGCAGAGCAATGGACATGTGTTAGGATTACAATGCAAAAATAATAAACACAATCATTGTACAATAACACACAAACACACCTTAGAAGGAAGAACATGCAAAACATTTATAGCCCACATCAAAACACAGCGTGAGTGTGGCCTGGGGGCAATTCACCACAATATCTCTTCCTCCCCAAACCACCACAGACAAGGACATGCAGAAATAATGTGCCTGTACAAGGCAAAAAATCAGCCGCTACTGCATCTCTTTATATAAGGTAGGCCACACCAACCACTGTCATTCATTTGGTCAGAGAAAGTGTTTGCACCTGATTAATTCTCTCTTCCCACCCTGCATTAACCCTTGGTATACAGGCCCCACAAATCACAGTCAGAAAGAAAGCCACAGTGAAGTGTACCTGTGCAGGAACAACAGAACATTGAACAGGGATGTGAAAGGGAACCCTATTGGCAATATTTCTTGGCCTTATGGGCACAATTCACTCCAAATTATCGCAGGAGTTAAGGCAGTCACATGACATCTCGCATGCAATACTGAAAATGTCAATTCACTTTTAGTATGCGACATTTTCCATAAATCGGAAAAACACTCAGGAAATCAAACATAAAAAGGCCTTACACCGCGGTCACATCAAAGCCAATTTAGAAATTGTGCGACGTACAGTAAAGATGCTGATTTCCTTACGATTTGCAAGACATCTGGCACATATCTATGCAAATCGTCACAAAAGTAGTACATGTACTACTTTAGAAATCAGTGTTGGAAACGCACCCATGTGACTGCTCTAATAGCAGACAATAGGGTGCGACTTGGCATACGATTTGCAAGTCGCATGCCATGCAAATCGCATACCAAGTCGCATCCAGGGTGCACGATTTCAGGTGCGATATTGAAATTGTACCTAATATCCTGTCAGGAATGGACTCCGCACTAGTGGTGGGACTCACCTGCCGTGTGGGCTGCAGTACCAGGGCTGACCAGCGGGTGCTCCCAGCAGCCAGAAGCTCACTCCTGAAATCAGCCAACACCGGGGGCTGATTGCAGGAGGTATATTTAAGGAATGGCCAGACCTGCAGTCAGTGCCTTGGTGTATGTTTCCCATGAGCCCCTGTACCTGGTATCCTGTGTTCCTGCCTATCTGCCTAGTTGCTGACCCTGCTTTGATCCTGACCTCTGCTGACCGTCTCCTGTTGAACCCCTGGCTTGCCTGACCATCCTTCTGCCTGATCCTCTGTACCGCGCTGCCCGTGAGTTACTGAACCCGGCTTGTGACCCTGACTATTCTCTGCTTGCTCCTCCGGTACCTCACTGCCCGCACGTTGCTGACCTGGCCTGCCTGACTACGCCTGATGCTACCCAGACGATCCATCCATCCCGTACGGATCCAGTCACTACTGTCCAAACCTGCCAGCCCCTTCACATCAGGCTTTCCCCCGGTACATACCCTCGGCGGACCCCTCTACCACAGTTGGGTGCACTCAGGGGCCGTGACCTGGTCTCAGTCCTGCGCCAAGTCCATCCCCACCATCAGGGGCTCTGGTGAAAAGGCAGACTGGGGCTTAGACTCCACACCCTGGGGAATCCTGTTCTGTGGGTCACTAGAGATCCCGCCGGGCGGTGCCTGACAGTACCTTACGGCCCGCCTGACCATTCCACCTCTCCAGCCCTGACTACGCCTGTGTTCCTGAAGCCTGCTACTTCCCTGTGTCAGTCCACACATTTCTGGTCATACCCGGATCCCTAACAGAACACCAAGGCCAGTCCTGACCAGAAGTAGCTACACAGGGAAGCCATCTTGGCTTATTGTTGTGAAGGATGCATCCGGAGGAGGTTATATACTTGTGTCTGCTAGTCTTTGATGACTCGGTGCCCGCTGTCGAGCTTGGTTGACCTGGTGCCCACGGTTCTGCTAGATGGCTCGGTGCCCGCTGACTTGCCCGGTGACTCGGTGCCCGCTGACTTGCCCGTGACTCGGTGCCCGCTGTCGTGCCAGATGACTCGGTGCCCACTGTTGTGCCAGATGATTCGGTGTCCGCTGACTTGCCCGGTGACTCTGTGCCCGCTGTCGTGCCAGATGACTCGGTGTCCACTGTCGAGCTTGGTGACCCGGTGCCCGCTGTCCTGCCTGATGATTTGGTGCCCGCTGTTGTGCCAGATGACTCGGTGCCCACTGTTGAGCTTGGTGATTCGGTGCCCGCTGTCGTGCCAGATGACCCGGTGCCCGCTGTCGTTCCCTGATGACTTGGTGCCCGCTGTCGTTCCCTGATGACTCGGTGCCTGCTGTCGTTCCCTGATGACTCGGTGCCCGCTGACTTGCCCGGTGACTCGGTGCCCGCGGGTGACTCGGTGCCCGCCGCGGTCGTGCCAGATGACTCGGTGCCCGCGGTCGTGCCAGATGACTCGGTGCCCGCGGTCGTGCCAGATGACTCGGTGCCCGCGGTCGTGCCAGATGACTCGGTGCCTGCTGTCGTGCCAGATGACTCGGTGCCCGCTGTCGAGCTTGGTGACCCGGTGCCCGTGCTTCTGCTAGATGGCTCGGTGCCTGCTGACGTGCCCGATGACTCGGTGCCCGCTGACTTGCCCGGTGACTCGGTGCCCGCTGTCGGGCCAGATGACTCGGCGCCCGCTGTCGAGCTTGGTAACCCGGCGCCCGCTGTTCTGCTCGATGACTCGGTGCCCGCTGTCGAGCTTGGTGACTTGGTGCCCGCTGTCGTGCCCGATGACTCTGTGCCCGCTGTCGTGCCAGATGACTCGGTGCCCGCTGTCGTGCCAGATGACTCGGTGCCCGCTGTCGTGCCAGATGACTCGGTGCCCGCTGTCGTGCCAGATGACTCGGCGCCCGCTGTCGTGCCAGATGACTCCGCGCCCGCTGCCGTGCCTCTACCCGCTGCCCAGCCCGACTGCCTCTGCCCGCTGCCCAGCCCGACGTGCCTCTGCCCGCTGCCCAGCCCGACGTGCCTCTGCCCGCTGCCCAGCCCGACGTGCCTCTGCCCGCTGCCCAGCCCGACGTGCCTCTGCCCGCTGCCCAGCCCGACGTGCTCTGCCCGCTGCCCAGCCCGACGTGCCTCTGCCCGCTGCCCACCCGACCCTGCCCGCTGCGCAGCCCGACGTGCCTCTGCCACTGCGCAGCCGGATGTGCCAGCCCCTGATGTCCAGCTAAACTGGCCAATAACGGATTCCCAGCCTGCTCCTGGAGATCCTGTGTCCAGCGACCTGCCTTCCTGGGTTCCCCTACATAAAGAGAAGTCTGCCAGCAGGAAACCCAGCCAGCCGGTTGACTCCGGCAGTAAGATATCCAGCCAGTTACCTGACCCGGGCGGTGGAACATTTTGCCCACTAAGGACTGTTTGGAGCGTCCTGAGGCCGCTCCTTGAGGGGGGGGGGGGGGGGGGGTACTGTCAGGAATGGACTCAGCACTGGTGGTGGGACTCGCCTGCCGTGTGGGCTGCAGTACCAGGGCTGACCAGCGGGTGCTCTCAGCAGCCAGAAGCTCACTCCTGCAATCAGCCAACACCTGGGGCTGATTGCAGGAGGTGTATTTAAGGAATGGCCAGACCTGCAGTCAGTGCCTTGGTGTATGTTTCCCATGAGCCCCTGTACCTGGTATCCTGTGTTCCTGCCTATCTGCCTAGTTGCTGACCCTGCTTTAATCCTGACCTCTACTGACCGTCTCCTGTTGAACCCCTGGCTTGCCTGACCATCCTTCCGCCTGATCCTCTGTACCGCGCTGCCCGTGAGTTACTGAACCCGGCCTGCCTGCTCCTCCGGTACCTCACTGCCCGCACGTTGCTGACCTGGCCTGCCTGACTACGCCTGACGCTACCCAGACAATCCATCCATCCCGCACGGATCCAGTCACTACTGTCCAAACCTGCCAGCCCCTTCACATCAGGCTTTCCCCCGGTACATACCCTCGGCGGGCCCCTCTACCACAGTTTGGTGCACTCAGTCCTGCGCCAAGTCCATCCCCACCATCAGGGGCTCTGGTGAAAAGGCAGACTGGGGCTTAGACTCCGCGCCCTGGGGAATCCTGTTCTGTGGGTCACTAGAGATCCCGCCGGGCGGTGCCTGACAGTACCTTACGGCCCGCCTGACCATTCCACCTCTCCAGCCCTGACTACGCCTGTGTTCCTGAAGCCTGCTACTTCCCTGTGTCAGTCAACACATTGCTGGTCACACCCGGGATCCCTGACATATCCAATCTAATGAATGTGGATGTGAGTGTCTTAACGTAAGCGATTTGCTGCAGCACAATTTCAAAAGTAGTTCTCGTCTAACTTTTTCAGCATTTTGTAGTGATTTCACATATAGACTACAATAGAAATCGCAATGCAAAACACAATTGAAAACGCAATAACTCATCGGTAAATCTACAGAAAACACGGTGAAATTGCCAACAAAAAGCACAATTTTAAATCACATCTAGTGTGAACCAAGCAGGCAATTCAACAAAGGAAATAAATCTTTGAAGGCATGCGGTATCTGCATGATCAGATGAGGGTCTGTTATGGATTTGGGGGGGGGGGGGGGGGGGGGGGACTCCATGCCATTATTTTTTATTTTTTTTTTTTTTTTTAATCCTTTTCTTTTGCTTACTCTTCTCATGGTTTGACAAACTTTCCCAAAAGGAGGTGGAGTGCAAACCAGCATTATCCAATCAATCATTAGTCCAGGCCCTTATCTCATCCCATCCTTTGACATTCACATAATACAGTCGTACCTCAGTTTACCAACGCCTCGGTTAACGTAATTTTCGGTTTACGAATGAAAATCCATTGAAAATAATGCCTCGGTTTACACAATTATACGTGTATGAATGTTACTCCTGCGCTATTAAATATATGAAATATATAGTAAGCTGCCAGCACTTAGGTGACACAACCCTGGCACCAAACACAGTCAGAAAGTTAAATTGTAAAACAGTGCAGCGCTATAAATTCCCTATCCACATAGCTTTATACAAAAAGATTAAAACAAAATGTGGTGCTGTGATTCCTTCCAGTATATAGATCCATCCTATTATGAAAAAAAAACACACACAACAATCTTCATGCAGGTGCTCCCAATTGTAATGTGAATCCACAGTGACGGGTGCCCCCTCACCTTCCTGCCCAGGCCCCGCAGGACCACTGAGCCAGACAATTGCCTCTCTGTTATCCTCTCACAACACCTTGGGGGCCTCCTCAGCAGTAATGGTGGTACTTCCTCCTCTGATAGGTGATATTTCCACTAGGTACCTCCAGATATTAGTGCGCACTCATTTCCATATGCATCCCACATAAGACAAGAAAGATCCACATAGTGTAAAACCTCAATAGACCTTTTATTTAAAAAGCCACACTACTAGTACTACTCACATTTTGTGTGGTTAAACATGCACATTTTCACCACACCATGGGGTGTACTGGCGTGTGTGGATCCTCACGAAAAGGTGGACCAAGATGGCGCCGACGCCGGATATGATGTCACCGCGCGATCCGTTAGGCTCCTCCCACTGGCGTATATGCGCGTTACGTCACGGTTGATGGCACGTGACTTCATCAAGATATACCAGGATATATAACCCTTCGGGTCTGGTATGGATGTTAAGGGGTAACTCCACGCCTAAAATTAAAAAAAAAAAAACAGCGTGGAGTACCCCCCAATATCCATACCAGACCCTTATCCGAGCATGCAGCCTGCCAGGTCAGGAAAGGGGGGGGGACGAGCGAGCGCCCCCCCCTCCTGAACCATACCAGGCCACATGCCCTCAACATGGGGGGGTGCTTTGGGGCAGGGGGGCTCCCCCCACCAAAGCACCTTGTCCCCATGTTTATGGGGACAAGGGCCTCTTCCCCACAACCCTGGCTGGTGGTTGTGCGGGTCTGCGGGTGGGGGATTATCAGAATCTGGAAGCCCCCTTTAACAAGGGGGCCCCCAGATCCCGCCCCCCCCTACATGAATGAGTCTGCGGTACATGGTCCCGCTACTCATTCACAAAAAAAAACAAAGTGTTGTGTAAAAAAAACACAGTACAGGGTCTTTGACAAGTCCTTTTATTAAAACAATGTCCCCCAAAGTAGATCCAACGTCAATCACGGCGGCGATCCGAAAAAAGGCTAGTAAGCCTCGTCGAAAACCGAAAACCTGTTCCGCACTCGACGAGGCTTACTGGCCTTATGCGGTGAGTCGCTCACTGACAGCTCTTAAATAGGTAAGGGGAGGGGCCAGCCGGGGACATCATCCGAGAAACCCCACCCCATGTGACATCAATGATGTCACATGCGGCGGGGGTAACTCGGATGATTTCCCTGGCTGGCCCCGCCCCTAACCTATTTAAGAGCTGTCGGCGAGAGACTTTTTTTTTTAGTAGTAAAAAACACAAAATCGGAATGCGCTTAAATCATATCAAAATTTCATATATCGTGCAAAGAAAGTCCAAACGCTATAAATTTACATTATCAAAAAAATCCCCAGTGAACCAATTTATAAATTCTTATTTATATACAAAAGTCCAACATCCCAAAGAAATTTCTTCTTAAAACAAATAAATCCACCGTGCTCAATCCACCACCAGATTAATGGAATAAACTCACCAGAGCTTAATGCTGATCAAATTATAAATCAGCACAAGCGTATTTGCTCTGGGAGCGATGAGAGAATCCAAAGAAGCAACCCTCTGTAATTTGAAATCCAGACACCAGGAGCAATACTCTGCAGCCACTCTGCGGTATGGCCAGGACCTTTTATATATCGATCATCCTCCACATAAATGGCAGTATCACTCCGAAATAAAGGAAAGGCATGATGGTGCAGTAAGTAAAAACTGTATATATTTATTAAAATCTCATCTTACTCACAAAGCAAGTGTCCACCTGACACTGGTATAACAAGCGGCAGAATATAGGAAGCATAAAATGGACGAACTCCGTTCACCGCGGACACCTCGCCGACAGCTGCAGGGAACGTCCTGACGTCATCCAATAAGCTCCGCCCTACGCGAGGACGCGAGGACGTCGGAGTGACGAAATGCGTAGGGCGGAGCTTATTGGATGACGTCAGGACGTTCCCTGCAGCTGTCGGCGAGGTGTCCGCGGTGAACGGAGTTCGTCCATTTTATGCTTCCTATATTCTGCCGCTTGTTATACCAGTGTCAGGTGGACACTTGCTTTGTGAGTAAGATGAGATTTTAATAAATATATACAGTTTTTTTTACTTACTGCACCATCATTCCTTTCCTTTATTTCGGAGTGATACTGCCATTTATGTGGAGGATGATCGATATATAAAAGGTCCTGGCCATACCGCAGAGTGGCTGCAGAGTATTGCTCCTGGTGTCTGGATTTCAAATTACAGAGGGTTGCTTCTTTGGATTCTCTCATCGCTCCCAGAGCAAATACGCTTGTGCTGATTTATAATTTGATCAGCATTAAACTCTGGTGAGTTTATTCCATTCATCTGGTGGTGGATTGAGCACGGTGGATTTATTTGTTTTAAGAAGAAATTTCTTTGGGATGTTGGACTTTTGTATATGAATAAGAATTTATAAATTGGTTCACTGGGGATTTTTTTGATAATGTAAATTTATAGCGTTTGGACTTTCTTTGCACGATATATGAAATTTTGATATGATTTAAGCGCATTCCGATTTTGTGTTTTTTACTTTTCACCAATACTTGGGTTAGAGGTTTGCTGCTTTATAGGATTAATTATTGTTGATTGGCGCTTTCTTTTGTTTGTTTTTTTTTTTTTTTAGAAGGCTGGAAGCTTCCGACGGGACTGGAACTTTTTTTTTTTTCTTTCGGATCGTCGGCGCCGCCGTAATTGACGTTGGATCTACTACGGGGGACATTGTTTTAATAAAGGACTTGTCAAAGACCCTGTACTGTGTTTTTTTACACAACACTTTGTTTTTTTCTGAATGAGTAGCGGGACCATATAACAGAGTCATTCACATGGGGGGGGCGGGATCTGGGGGCCCCCTTGTTAAAGGGGGCTTCCAGATTCCGATAAGCCCCCGCCCGCAGACCCCCACAACCACCGGCCAGGGTTGTGGGGAAGAGGCCCTTGTCCCCATCAAC